GTGACTTAGGACGATACCAGCCCCGCACACCCCTCCGCAGCAGCCTCTGGATCACCAGGGGTGCGCAGCCGGAAGTGAGTGGAGACTGACGGAGCGGTTAGCTCAATCACTGTGTTTGCATCTTGAATTCTCGTTTCCGAGACACGGCACACATCAATGCCAAACGAGACCAGTGTGAGTGCAAGAGCAGCTTGTTGTCCTGTTTGCTTTAGAATGCGGACATTGAAGGCGGCCAGATAGACTGGGTGTCAAGGCTCGAAGATTGATTTGGTGATACCTGAGGATGTCGGTGCCATGTGACGAGCAGGTATTGCGCGCAAAACCGACGCATGGTGAACGGAGTCATCAGTCCTAAGTGCTTGGTCTACAAGTGGAGAGCAATTGATGGCGTGGGGGTGTAGGAAGAAAACGTGTGGCAAAGAACAAGGGAAGCGTCGCTAGTAGCCTGTTTTCACTCGCACGCCTTGCTTTGTGCAGCGAATAAGGCTGATGACACCACGCGACGGCCGACGTGGCGTGAGAGTAGTGTTAGTCATGAATGTCATGGTTGTACGAGGGCTGGGATACTGTCAAGGCGTCCACACCTAGACAGGAGAACGATTAGAGTCCTCAACCAAAGTCTTCGGCTCAAAAGCCTAACCGCAAGGCGGCGCTGTTTGGCGGGAAATGCAAATGCATTACCATTTCTACGGAATAAGTCGCCAAATATTCCAACTCCAACTTAGATGGCCAGGAGTCTGTGTTCATCAGGCCTCTAACCATTGAACAACCTGGTATGAGAGGCTCTGTAGGTGTCGCGGGACACCCCCCAGTATAGCTCAATGGATCGCAAACCGTCACACCACGGTAAGGTCCAGTCTCTTGGTGGCGTTTTAGGTACTGCCGAGAAATGTGTACAAAATGGGTCACACGCTATCACCCGGTGCGTTTACAAGGTACCGACAAGCGTACTGCCATCGATCGTTCGAAATTGGTCGGAGTCGAAACCGATGTTTAATTTTTCACGTTTTATGTGATGGTAATGAAATGAATTCCGTTTTTTCCATTTCAGGCTTAGCCATTATCAGTCACGGTCATGGTTGTCAGGCCGCCGCTTGCATTTCTACTGTTTATCTTCCTCTGCTCACATGGAACCTCTGCCCCGGAGACGTGTTTCCCGATGGACGAATTCAGGACAAAATCTGGTGAGATACTTCACTTCTGTGCTTCAACTCTGCGTTACTTTCTTCCATGTAGTCACGATCACTAAGCCGGTCAACACACATTCGGATGAACTCCCACTTTACGCCGCAGTGAATGGGACGGTCCGGCCGACTAACTCTTCGATTTCTCAAATTTTTCGCTTCCTCCCTGCTTCATACTGGATCAATACCACATCCGAGTCCTGTAATAGTGGTGTTCTCAACTTCACACCTTGCAACTCAGTAATCCGGCTGACCGAAGACTTCCTCAACCTGTCAATGAAAGAACACAAGTTATTGCCAGATCGATCATTGTGGGGTGACCGCTCTGTCCTGCTACTCACCATTCATCTGTTGAGCTTCAAACCATATTCTGGCGTGTGTCCAGCGATCACTATATGTCCAATTCCCGGCATACCATCCGAACAGTTTCTGAGGACTCTCGAGAACCCTAGACAGATTTGTAAGATTCCTGTGGTGAGTTGAGTGTTTGATATCGCCCGGCCCCTTACTAAACCGATATAGCAATCTCATCGCTACCTTTGTAATGCGCAAGCTGGGTTTCACGGATGAGGTTTATCCACAGTACAGAATATGGAAATCCCAGTTCGCGAGCCGGTTGTTCGGAACGTGAAGGCGGTTCAGACTCAATTCACTAATGGCCCTGTAATTTTGGTCACTTAACCAAACAGGTTCACGGGATCACGTTCAGATGATCCTACTAGAACGGTGTTCCTGTTGGATAAACCCTGTATTCATAGTGATGTCATCCCTAGGCATGGACGAATGTCCGTGACGGATTGCTACCCCGGCCTAGTGGGTTTGTTTTCCTCTAATGGGACGTCCTCATCGACAATGGGGTCCAAGGAACTGACTGAGTTTGGCGCTGGTGCACCCAAGGAACTTGCGCGCGGTCCTCTCCAGGCTCGGTTTACCGTCTATGGATCCAAACCCCGGTACAGTTCGGATGAGATCCGATCATTTTTCAGTTATTTCACACCCATTTTCTGTTATCTCACACCCACGTTAACCCTCTAAGGTGACTGACCACGAGTGATGGTTCAAGTGGTTCGAGCGCGAATTTACTGACCGCAGGGTCCGTGGTTCGAAACCGACCTCTGCCTCTCGACTTCCCCTGTCTAGGCTTGGAAAACCTGGCAGTATCCCATCTCCCGTGCTTCCTTCGGGTGGTATGGCAGTTAGGCACCAGAGGAATGTTAGAGCTGAACGATTCGATTTTCGATTCGCTAAAGTTCCTGCCGGATCGGTCCACCGTATCTTTACTGCGGAGTTTTTCAAATCATATGTGCACTGAACTGGTGGCGTTTGACTGTACGTGTGACATTTCGATGGAATACGCCCTTTGTTTATCGTCACATTTCACTCGTTCGCTACCACACTTTTTCTCTGTTGATTCGCGCTTCATTTCGGCCAGTCAGTTAGCGCAACATGAGTTTGCCAAAATGGACTACTGAGCTTTAGTCCTTCATTGTTTTCTCTGTCCTGGCGAAGTAAAACTGTGTGCAGACTGTCAAATACGACCGTCTGGTTGTAACCGGGCCTCACAGGTTTGAATCTATTCATCCCTCCGTTTTACTATCACCTGTAGACTGTGATGGTCGTGGCGTTTACGACGAGGTTACGATTGAGCGAAGTGGTAACGTTATTTCTCTATTCAGAGAACGGCGGGTTTTATCAAAGAGTTTACTCGTATACTAGGTGAAATTCGATGCCCACGCTGCGTTGGTGCGTTTCCATCAGATTGGGATGTACTTTTCACTGAGTGAAGTCCGCTTTAAGCTCTGAATTTTCGTCCTGTCCGCTAGTGAGTTTTTTTTAGGATTGTTCACACTATTTGCTTGAGTGGATTTATAGTTGGATGCTCTTCCGTTCGGAATGTTTTGCCCAAGGGGAATTCAATGGTTAAAAAAATGGACTAGAGGGACATTGTTCTTTCATCTGGGAAGTACCATCCTCGAGTGATTCGCCCCTACCCCGGCTGATGGGGAAAGGCGTGTTCGCATCAGAGGACAACAACAGAGAGACCTGGTCAATGGCATAACGACATAGTGGCTCAGGAGGAGTACGGACTCCCGCGGGCAGTCCACTCTTCGAGCAGTAGAACTAGAGCTCCGCTAGAACTCGCAGTTCGTTCTTTGGAGCCCAGTGCTTCGGTCAATCGCTTGTAATTGTTTTCTTCCCTAAGTTGGATTCCTGTGTTCTATGGTTTCGAAATCTTGCTTCACGTATGCACACCAAGGTTTATCTCAGTCGCTTGCTTGGTGATCTGTGCGCTGTGTGAATCAGTTTCACCGTTCCTAATTAGGACAGGCAGTGAAAACCGCGAAACCAACTTAAGGAAGGCTGATTCGTTAAGCAATGCCCGTTCAGCATTCCCCGGCTATTGCATGTCGAGCTTCATATCACGTTCTTCCGAGAGATGGCTCAAGTGGTTAGAGAGCGAATTTACTGACCGCAGGGTCCGTGGTTCGAACCCGACCTCTGCCTCTCGAGTTCCCCTGTCTCTAGGCTTGGGCAACCGGACAGTATCCCATCCCTCGTGCTTCCTTCGGCTGGCATGGCAGCTAGGCACCGGAAGGGGTTACAGCTGAATGATCATCATCATCATCATCATCTACTCTCGTCCTGCAGCGGTGCGCTTATCAAACGTCCGATACGGCAGTCGCTTACTTGCCAACAGGACCTACTATGGCGAGTCATCGATAATAGGCTTATGAGGCCATTTACCGAGTACGTTTTGTTTAAGAGTATTCGTATTTGGCCTAACATGATATGCCTAGCGATCTCGGTATAGCTCAGGGATTGAGGCGTAAAATTACTGGCCGGAGGGTCCATGGTTTGAACTCATCCTGGCTAGGCTGGAGCAGTACCCCATACATCTTGATGCTCTCGAGTTTAACGGCTGACGCACTATTTGTCATCAGTTGTTAGATGTCTAACATCATCCGCAAGCTTCGTGAAGAAGACCCAGACACAAAGATCAGTCGAATATCCGGGGAGAACATTCTTTCGAATTCGTCCTGGGCTGAAAAGTATACCGATAGAGTGCGCACTCTACCAGACGAAACCAAACTTCTCATTGGTTGCAGTGTTTTACGCAATGTGTTTTGTGCAGTACGCACGAACGATACCTTGCGATTGCCAGTGGCTTCACTGAGCTTGTCAGATGCACTTGACTTTAAAACTAGCCCCTTACTATTCATTTTACCCATTGTTTCACTGGTCAATTATATATTTTTATATGGAATAATGTCTGGATAAGGTTCCTGTCATCCGTAATTCTCGCTGAACAACTGCTCTGTGGGGGAGTAGTTGCTCTGGGTTGGAGCCCAGCGTTCCCGGGGGTGACAGGTGTATTCGAGTCCATTGTGATTGGCTGAACCACTTTCCGATTTTCGAAAGAACACTGGAGACACCTGAGCTCTTATTTGTATACGTTTATAAACCCGTGTCCTGAAAGCCTGTCTCCGGAAGATAGAAAATGGGAACTCTTGTTCCGTGTTCTGAGCGTAATAATCGTATTCCAAGATACAGAGTGGCTAACACCCACGAAATGATCGATTTTTTTCGGTTTCTGGACGTTTCCACTTTTGTAGGGCATCTCAATATCTCATCACTTCTTCTATGAGACTATGCTGTCGCTTCGACTCACGTTTGTCGTAGGAATCAAGAAGGCCTATTACTTAGTCGCGCTCAGGAGCGATCGACAAGTCATGCGTTTGACTGCGACCAAGAGCAGTTGAAGTCAGCGGTCCGCATTTCCACCTCTGGTCACCCGCATGTTTCGGGCCTGAGATCATGTTTTCTGATCAGGTATGCTCTTTTCTCCTCTTCGGAGTCGTAGCACAACTTCCCTTTTGTTCTCATCCCACCGCAGACTGCTACCACTTGCGATGAAACGATTGATTCCGCGTTTCATATGCTATACACGTTGGCAACGGGTGCATGGATTGTGGTTCACAACCTTGGGAATAACCTCACCCTCTACAACGATGCTCTGCAATTCGTTCTCACAGCTGCGTGTAAGTGCTTCTTTATTTCGCCGTCCACTCAAAGGAGTACTTTCCTTTGCGATATTTTCTGTCACTCCTAGTTTCTCATTTGTTGAAGCCGACCTTGAAAAGGCAGTACGTCAATCAGGTCAGTTGAAGCAAACTGATGAAGTCACGTGATGTGCTTCCCTAGCATTTCCGACGCTCGGTCGTTCCCCATTTTCGCATCTTTTTGTTCACTAAGCACCCACGTACCCGACTAATTTCTCCTGCATGGGCTATTCTCCGAAGAGGGCAGCTGAACTCTGACCGAAACTCACCGTCGATAGAAATTGAATTGGTGCGACCCGGTAGTCCTTAGTCTTATACAGGTTTTCGCTTAATGCTTCTTAGTTGTTGACTAGATGCCTTCAGGAACCCTGAGATTGTCGTGTCTATGTAGTCAGTTAATAAACAGTAAAGCTGGAATACTGGTCTACTTGGAAGTTGTTGTTCACGTTTGGACACTGGAAGCATGGTGGAAACGAGGGGCTCCTCAACTGTACACAAAACGCGGTCGGAAAATCAGATTTTGATAAGGTTAATATCTGACCGACCGCTGGGCTGAGTATTTTGGACAACGATTTATTTGGCCATCCGCCCCTGCAACTATGCCTTCCTATGGACCCGCTGTACCCGGCCGTGGGCTTTTCCACTGTCTGCCTTACAGCGCCATCCAGTAACTGGGCCAGATAGACTCTTACCGGTGTTTTTCAAACACGGTCATGAGTTTTTGCTTTTGCTTCCAGTGGGCTTGGCTGTCTAAATTGATTTGCGGCCAAGAATGCGTTCCGACAATCTGGGGCCGTACACTCACCGCATCTTCACCCAAAAGCGGTAATCGAGTCGACTGCTCGAACCATAGGAGCATAAGCCCTGCTCATCCAGTTGTAACGGGGCTACCTCCTTCCGCACGTTAATAGCCGTGAAGCATTTCGCTTAACACTAGACAGGATTGCCATCTGAAAGATACTGCGTTGACCACATCTTCACATAATGTGAAGTGCTTGAGCGGCGCCACGTTGTCTCGCATAGGCCGACCAACCGTGGCGGTTTTCCTTGACTTTAAGGGAGCCGTCGACTCCTACCCATATGTGGCCGACGAGGAATTCGCTCAAGGTTTGTGAATATGCTTCTTGCTGTTTACTTCCGTGTTTTTGTGAGTGCAGCGTGACAGATGAATTCAGTGCACGCGCCATCAAGGCTCCAACAGCATTTGTCGCGTCACCTTTTCTGTCCTAGACGAATGTCACTGAAGTCAAAGGGTCACGTTTACAAAATGACCGTCCTACTGTATGGCTTCTTCACTGTAGTGACTTCAAACGCCTTCAGGAATTTGATGGCTAGTTGCTCCACAGTATAGACGGCGTTGACTTGCTGCAACATATTCGTGATGCCGCCATCCTCATACTGGCGGTCCCCAATTAATTAATGGTTCTGATTTGATTCGGCAACAGATAAGGCTTATCAGATTGTGTTTTGGGCATGTAAAACGCATGCTTGACCACCGTTTGTGACAGGAATTTGTTTTTCACTCCCAACCACTTCTGCCAATAAGTTTGTGGGGACAAGTAGTGGTGTCGAATGCGAGATGAAAGCTACCACTGTTGATCGGACGCTTGTGAACAGACGGCGAGGTGTTCAGACGCTCGTCGGTACATAAGTAATCAAGGCGCGAACAACACTCCTTTGTCATAGAGGAGTATCACTGAGGTTAAAGGTGTGAAAAATGATCGTGAGAACAGCCCCATACCAGGTTTACCCAATCTACACGCAGTTTGTCATGGCTCGCAAATACCGCGATGTGGCGCTGATCCCAATTTTTGCGAGCTTTCCCACACTGCGATTAGCGTATCTCGTTTACTGAGTTGAGCCCAAGATTGTCTTTTTTATGGAGCAGATGGGCTCCGCCACATCCTTGTCCATTATCTGTGCCACGCACGTCACGTCAGACTCGGGTGTTTGCTTCAGCTCAGCGGCATTCTCCAGTTTTCACACCCAATCACGTGCTTGTCTACACCCCTTGCCATCCGACCTTGTCTCGGCGTTCTAATTGGCTATTTGTTGCCTGTCTGTCACTTTGTCATCGATACGCACTCGGGCTATAGGGTCGGTTGGTAACTGCCCCGGTCTGTACGCGTACCTTTGTTCCGGTCCAGTGCTGACCGAGGACAGCCCAGTGCTGATCCTGTGGACGGCGCTGTGTCCGTACAATGGAATTGAATTCACGAAAGCCACAATATGTCCCCGATGGGCTAAAAGAGACAGGCAATTGAGTTCAGACTACGAGTCGAAGCTGGTGAGACCATCTAGGCATCACGGGATCTCAGCGATGCTTGGAAAGCATTCCACCAGACTTTTTCCGCTCGGGGTATGATTGCTCCAGTGGACAATGAAATTTGATGAACTGGGATAATATGAACATAGATTAGGATGATTTTTGGTTTGAGTACACAAAATGCAAGATTTTGGCGCAAAAAGGTGTATTGCACTCGCAAAGGTTTAACAGCTAAGAGCGTTGTGCGGCCAACGGGCCCGCTTGTGGTCAGTCCACTATACCGGGTGGGTGGCCCAGAGGGGAAGGTTTAGAGTATGGGGTGTGGTCCGTTGCCCCTTGACCGATGGTGACCCGCGATGATGACCCACTACGGACGTGGGGATTGGTTTGACACGTATAATGGGATAAGAGAGTTCGTGATACGCTGCCGCAGCGAGAATGCAGCCCCAACCGTCGTGCGTCTCACAGAGTTTACCCATTGGATCATTGCCAGGTTCACCAATTATCGTCACTTTGTCGCGTTCGCTTGACATTCTTCTGTCCGGTGTTTTTAGCACCTTCTAACATGGTGAACTCTTTCAAATTCCATCTTCAGACCGTCTTGATTTGGATGAATTCCAGTGTCCACCTGGCCTATTTGCCTGCACACCACCAGGAACTCAAATGAGTCTGGAGCCAGAGCCCAAATCCGAACAGGATTGGCCGGTGCGACTCTGCCTACCACTGAGTCTTCGTTGCGATGGTGTGCCCAACTGCCCCAATGGCGGTTCAGACGAACAGAACTGCCATTCCGCAGTCGCACCTATCCAATTCGAAAGGGTTGAAGGCGAACAGGATCGTCTGCAAGGTTGGCTGTCGGGTTACGACACAGAGATACTCAGTTTGATTGGACGCGATCTGCCTGTTGTGTATACTGCCGGTGGACCCAACTACATGGTGTTACTCATTGTTATTTGTGTGGTGGCACTGGTTATTCTATTGTTTGTCCTACTCACTCTGTTTGTCTTCAGTCCGCTATGTCGCTACAAGAGGCAGCGCTCGAGGCAGACTATCGCCAAAGCAGCCTCCTATGAGATTATTTCCAGTGAATCTCCCGTATCTTGTTAATATGACTGTTTCCATCATTACCCATTTTGTCGGCAGATATTGCGATACCTCATTTCTATCTGTAAGTACTCATTATTCATCTACCCGGTGTTTTTTGTCTGTAATATTTAAATCCACTTACCCGCTCTATTTGACTAATAAATCGATACTCGTAGTCTTATTTTACCGTCCTTTCCTATGGAGTCGTGTAACACCTTTCTGGTTCCCTTGCTCCCATGCAGCCCGGAAGAATCACGAGGGCTGAGGTACGCAAGCTGAGACAGGGGTTGGGTTCCAACCACAGGCGTTTCGGTCAATGAGTTCTTGCCTTAACTATCGAGCTACCTCGAGCCGTGTCCAGTCTGGTATTTTTATGGAACAACTCTCGAAGTCGATAGCAAACGGATACTAGAACCTGGAAGACGTCCCCAATCCGTAAACGGCTCGCGTGCCTAACTGCCATGCCACCCGACGGAAGCACGAGGACTGGGATACTGCCAGGTTGCCCAAGCCTAGACAGGGGAAGTCGAGAGGCAGAGGTCGGGTTCGAACCACAGACCTTTCGGTCAGTAAATTCGCACTTTAACCACTTCGGCCATCTCCCCAATCCGGTGCCAGTCGTTCTACATTTGGCCTGAATCCCGATCGCCAACCACCTCGTAGTCCATTGTAGGCAGTATTTTCAGCCTTTAAGCGAAACATTTGCATCGCTTCAACCCTGGTCCATTCGGCCGGTTCGTTTGCCCGTTACTCATGCGGTGCAAACTGTGGCTGGCAGGAGCGTTCCAAGTTGCTGAATTCCGCACAAATTGTTCCCGTAAGGCCGTTCAGACTCATAAAAAACCAAAGGGCTTGTAGCTAATTGATAATCCGCAAGCACGCAAACGTTTGCGTTACGATGAGTTTAATAGCCCAAATTGCACTGGAACACAGTGGTTGCTAGCAGTGCTTTCGGGAAAACTCATCAGGATAGTACCTAACTGGTTTGCGGCTTTGGAAAGCTAACGATGAAGGAAGTGACTGGTCCTCAGATGGGTCGCCCTCAGAGAAGAATCATCGGTTGACAAAGGTAAAACCAGCGCTTGTGAGTGCCTCTTTTGATGATAGAGCGGAGGTTGACGCAATCTGACTGCTGACGCATCAGAGTGATTCCGCGGCGCTCCATGAATCACCCTGAGTGATTGAGCTGAGTTGATTGCGTTTGTCTTCTCTATTTCGAATGAAGGACGGTTAAAGCTCAACCTGTCTCCGGGGAAGAAGCCGATTTGCGGAACCCACGGGGTTCGCCAAACGCTCGCCAGCAAAGGAATAGATTAACGCTGAAAAGTCATCGACTGGCAATCTTCAAATTTGTGTTAATTAGGCAGGTGGTAGAGGGGTGGACTCTGAATTGTGTTACATTAAATTTTCTTCATAGAGAAGCTGTTGTGCGACTTGTGTCGCGACAAACGGCTAATTGTATATAGACAGTTTTCTTGGGGATCGAGGCGTGATACCTAAAATCCATTCCACTTGGATGTTCCGGAGTTCGCGTAAAAATTCCTCCGGGTGTCCGTTCTCGATCAGGGTTCTCGCAATCAATCTTTGATCTAATTCAATGGCTTCATGAGTAGCGACTGAAAAATGAGGCGGCCTGGTGTGGCACATTCAGTTGCCTGGAAACATTACAAGCGAGACATTCAGCTGGGTTCCAGGTGAGTCTCTCACAACACCAAATTAGGTGGCAAATGAGTGAATTTCGCTAATTCCGTGCAATTTGGTTTCAGGTAGAACATAAGGTTGACTGACGGAAACTCGGGGACTGCGCCTACCTGATGAGCCCCCAGAAGGGCGAAACCGGTCGTGGGCTGCCGACAAATTTTCAGCCACCTTATGAGTAGTGCGTCACGAAAGTCATGTCTTAGGCATCAAGTCTAGTTTTCCAGTGAACGGAACATCATGATAGTGGAAAGTACGACTAGATTCATCCTCGGCACTGAGGTTAAAACTTATAAAGGTCTCATCGGTTGAGCATCGTCGACGGTAAGATGGCAACTGTCCGATCGGTTGTCCGAAACACTACGTCTCGTAAGTGTCAGCCTAAATGGGGCCGAGTGGAGAGCCTACCGGGGATGCTACTGATGAGAAGGCTTTGCATCTCTTGAAAAGTGAGATCTATTACCGAAATTATGGAGTCACTTTGTAGCATTCGCTTGGATTTAAGCAGCAGTCAATGAATATCCAGGAAAGTTCGGAAAGACGCGTTCAAGGAGAAGATGGATATTCAGTTTTTGTAAACAAGGTACTTCCCTGTCCAATAGTCTGTAATTGTTCAGTTGGCATTTTTTAATAAATAACTCCGCAGCGAAGGCCTTCTCCCTTTCACCGGTACTCCATCTCTCTGTTTCTTTATGAAATCATCGAATAAAAACTGGGTATTGAATGTTTATCGTCTACGAATATGAATAAAATGACGTGGAGCGGGCGGATAAAGTTACAAATAGAATCAATTGATTCTAACCACGGAATGCCGTAAAAAAAGGGAGATAGATCTAGGGAGCACACTAGCGCCACAAAACATGGGTCATAACCGTGAATGTCTTCAGAATGAGCTTCACCTCACGTTTTTATAGGGAAAACAAAACTCTGGGTCTTGAGATAGCACCTGGCCTTATGAACATACAGTTCTGATTGGTTGGAAAAAGTTTAACGACCTTGGTATCTTGCAGTGTACGCCGCAGTTTAGACTGTCCATCATGTTTGAAGTCACAAAGTGGTTGGACTGGTGAACTTTGTCGGGAACCGGCTCATATTTGCTCGTCAGACGTTCGAGTTCCGTCAGTTCTGATCGTAATAGGTCCATCTGACTGAGTTTTTAGGCGACATACAACCATTCTGTGTCTACCACCTATGTCATGGAGTTTCACAAGGGGTTAGAATTTGATGCCAGATCGTAACTCATGAAGATGTAAAATGCGTCGAAACTTGCCGGGGCATCAGTCAAGGAATACAGCCATAATTCATTCACTCAAGTGGTCAAACTTCCAAACGTGCGGTGCGAAAGCGTGAGTGCATGAGTAACGTGCACAGGCACAGAGTTAGTGCGCCCTTGCAAGGTTCAAGTAAACTAACTTTCGAGTCGGAAGGTGCGTATCCCGTATCCTGACTGCGGAAACTACCTTACGCGTTCTAGTAATTTACAGATCACTCAAAATCTCGTACGAGCAAAACGTCCTGTTGGACGTTCACGAAGACTTGGATGTTCATTGTTGAAGAGCAGATGGACAGACCAAGTGTGTTCGAACCGAAATGCAGCTCGGACCACAGTGCATTTGTCTCGCAAGAGTTGTCTACCACTACCAACTACCTCTTCGACAATGACAGCACAGCATGATTCGACCACGGATGGGTTTGCCAAGTGTCGTGATGGTTCACACAGGATTTATGGCCTAATCGAATATCACTGCGCGGTTTGACTTCCTTGACGTGTTCATCTGTCCGCCGAAATTACGAAACTGTTTCAGAAGGGCTTAGTAAACAATTCGGTAGTTTCTAATTGGGTGATGTTTCCCTTTTGACACAAAAGTTTCATCAGATCAATTGAGCAGGTCACCAAATTGGCCAGCTTTTAAAGCAGACGGAGAATTAATCAGTCAAACCTCTTCAGATTATCACACTAGATGAGTGTTGAGTGTCAATTAACGACTCTTGTTGGTTATTAAGGTTGTCAAAATCTTGCGTTGGTTGATTGGGGGAGTTCCAAATTAATTCTGATCGGGTTTGGTTCCTTAATCTTCCACTTCAGAGTGCTTCAATTGATGATTCACCTCGGGTGCCACTGGTAGACTTTCCTTGGTCTTTGTGGGGTTGTGAGTGCTCCGACAATTTGGTTTGAGGAGGGGTTGAGCTCAAGTGGAGTTCAGATGATGACTGCTCATCCTTCTGATGACCGCACACCAACACGTGTCAGCTCGACTGATCCAAAACCGTTCTCCACACGCTTGCCAGTTCTATGCCTTCTATTTTATTAACACTGGGATGCTTGGCGATTTCTGCAGCCTTGGCTATCAGTCTGTGTGACGTGGATCATGGTCCTCGCCTCAAAACATTTTCTAAATCTGCGAATATACACTCATTTGCAAACTAATTTGGCTTTTTTGCAAATGAGTGTATATTCGCTAATTTCTAGCAATTTGGTTTCAATTAGAACATAAGATTGACGGAAACCAGGGGCTGCGCCTACCTGATGGGCCCCAAAAAGAGCGAAACCGGTCGAGGAGTTCTCAGCAACCTTATGAGTGGTACATTACAAAGATTATCTAAATCTATTTTGTGTCCCGTGCATGTTCCGCCGTTGCCGAGTCTTTCAGTAACGCCCAATATTTTTCTGCGCTTCTCGGCGGCCTGTTCATTTCCAACCTATTCTCTCCATTCTGATGTGAAGTTCCCTGGCCCTCTGTCCTATATAGACCCTAGTGCAGTCGTTACACTTCATTTTGTAGACAATCTCTGGTTCAGTTTAGAGGGAGGTGATTCTTCACTTGCACCATTGCAGAGCGCGGTATTTCCCTCCTGGAAAGCTACGCTTATGTTAACCGATGTCCTTGGTTTATATGGAATAACAACTGTTTTAATCCATTCGATACCGGTACCAACATCCTTCGCAATCGACACCTGATCAAACTAGCTGGATATCCATCACCCCGAAGTTTGTTCCCCACTTCAGTTTGGGTCTCTATCAAATCAATTGCTGTGCTCAGGGTCCTTNGACTTCGGATGGGCAGACGAGTAGTTCAAAACTGCCACAGCTTTACCACGCTATTAAAGCAAGTAGGTGACTCAAGCTTAGTCATGGGCTCAATAGAAGTCTAAGTCCTAGAAAGTAACTTTTCCAAATTATCTACTTGTTTCTATCTGTAGTGTTTTGATTGGATGGCTTTCAATTCTGTCGCTTTGGTTTGGAGTAACTGCAGGACTGTGGGAGAGAGCTTGTCCTGCTGACTTCAGGAGACAATAAGTGAATTGTCTCACGAAAAGCATTGATGTGGTTAGTCAAAGAGAGCGAGTTCGACGTCTGGAAACAGTGAGGTATCTAGGTTGAACCAGGTGAAGAAAGAAATGTAACATCCTACCAACGAATGAATTCACTTTGGGCTTCGAAATGCAGTTCGTACACCCTAATATTTAGTTTTAT